TATAATCTATCAAGACATCTAAAAATCATATCTTTCCATGAAAATTTGTGAAAGTTGGCACTAGACATCAGTCCTCCAACTGCGTGTTTTTCCGGAGTCATGAGTCAAAGATGGCATAAAGCTTTGAAAAGACTAAATTACTTAGGCTACAGTTTTATGATCCTGAAGTCAAAGATTTCAAGGACAGGAGAATCCACCTTGCTGAAGAATTAAAGAAACAATTAAAGAAACAATTATCATAGTTTTCTTGGCATAAGATGAGATCTCTTTTCAGCTGTAAATGCCTATATTTCAGGAAGTGAATTTCAAGGACTTCAGGAAGAGCAAGAACATCAAAAAAGTATTCTGTGTTAGCAATGCTGGGCAAATGGGTAAGAGGATTATGAAGAGCTTTACTAAATACATATATGTAAAAGTAGGTCTAGGACCGGGGCAGAAATTAACAATGATTCAAAAATGACTATGATATTGAACATGGTCTGGAGTAAGTCTGAGCATGTGGTAAGAGAAGATGAGCCGCTAATGTAAGCAGATAAATAGAAGTAAAGGAAAACATGAGGACCTTCACATTTGGATAAAGTGTTGGGAAAAGAGCATTAGACAGCTTTCTGCTCTGTTCAGTATTTTGAGAGAGCAGTCCATGAAAAGAGAAACCTGAAAACAAACCCCCATAATAAAAATGGCTTTGAAAATTAACCTCCAACAGAAAAAGACACTTCCAAGCTATGGTCCCCCAAAGTCTACTGTTAGTCTTAATATAAAAGGCTGCTACTAATTTACCAGTACAGTTAAAGTAAACAGATATATTGAACACTAGAGGTGGAAGACATTTTCAGAGATCAGAATTTATGCTGAGCAAATACAAATCTGGAAGGAATTACAATTAGATTGAATTAAGTGAACAATTTTAATGCTTTTTTAATTAAAACATTCCATTCCAAAATTAAATTTTCTTTTCAAGTCAGAATGATACATTTAATGTGGAATAAATCCAAACAATTTTACATCTGATTTTTATGCTTGCCCCACAACAAAATCCATTACTCACACAGGTCTGGTAAGTACCTCTCATTCAGACTGAAGGAAGGAGTAATTAACTATTCCCATGTGTGATGACACCTGAAACAGAAACTCCTGCCCAAGGTTAAAGCCTGTACAGTAAGCAGTTAAGCCAGTTAGGTCAATAGTCTTCTCTGATTCCTCATTTGATTGCAAGGCCATGGGCTGAGGTAAATGTGTTTTTTGCTCTGTTATTAGAGGCGGAGAGAACTGAAAGGGCTAAAAGCAACTCAGCAAGTGTCACAAATTGTACTGAGCAGATAAAATGCTTGCTGTTGTGCAGGACCAGTGCGAAAGTCAGACTTGGCAATAATCAGCTAAAAAGTTGGTCATGGGAGTCCATTTCTATGGTGTGTTGCAGGAAATAAGCGAAGTTGCAACAAATAAACACCCAAGGAAGATCAAATTCTGCTGTCAATAGGGAGAAGACAGAAGCTCCAATTATTGGCAAACCATTTGTGCCAAAGGACAACAAATTACTATTGGGCTAATGTTCAGGAAAAAAATACATCAGAAAAGGCACCAAGCCAAAGAAGTAGAACCTTGCATTCCTCACACAGTACTGATGTGAATTGGCCTTCTAGGGCACAGGGATCTCACAAGGTCTTCTCTCTCCTGATGCAAATATTGAAAAGGGAAAAAATACATCTACATATATAGAAGATCTTTGTACATACGCATGTATAAAACCTTTACTTCAGGCCTGAACCAGGCTTTTAAAAAAATAATTTGCATTAACGTTAGTCCTAGCTGTGCAGCACCATTCAGGTTTCTATGCCAATTTTCATGCCACACAATGAATGCTTTCAAACCAAAGAAAGGAGGGAAGAAGGGAAGGAAGGAGGGAGGGAAGGAGGGAGGGAGGCAGAGAGGGAAGGAAAGAAGGAAGGAAGGAAGGAAGGAAGGAAGGAAGGAAGGAAGGAAGGAAGGAAGGAAGGAAGGAAGGAAGGAAGGAAGGAAGGAAGGAAGGAAGGAAGGAAGGAAGGAAGGAAGGAAGGAAGGAAGGAAGGAAGGAAAACAGTATTTGTCACATACAGAGCCCATCCTACTTTACCTGAGAATTGCATATGCGTTCGTTCATCATCAAGTACGTGTATTTTTATACATGAAGACAGGCCTCGAGTTCTTCTTTTACCTGGCACAGAAAGTAATGAGATCAGAAGTGATCCTGAATCAGTCTCCAGAAGAGCTCTGCCTCACGCATCAACTCTTCAGGTGAGATAGTCAGGTTCATTGTACCTGAGATGACAGCTGCTGTCTTAACCCAGATGCATACCATAAAATGTCCATTAATGAAGAGGAAGGTGATCTTGAACATAATATTATATTTATTTTGCAGTGAGAGGTAGGACTGTGAAGGTAGGACAGGTCACATGGGTTCATGGAAATTTCTTTACTTGATGAGACATATTTGTGACAGCACTGAAGAAGTCAGGAGATCAGCCCAACTTGCATTATAAAAGGCACCACTGTCTGGGTCTCATCAGCAGAGATAGAAAGGCACCTCAAGGGCACAAAACACTGAACAGCAGCAGCACTCTTCATTTTTTGCAAGCTCCCACTCACATCACTAGAAATGGATGTCATGACATTATCCCTGGCTTTATTGTACCTTGTGTGCAACAGATGAAATGCTGGGAAAAGGATGGCAGTAAAGCTCAGATACATCTAGCCTAACTTAATGTTTCTTCTCTCTACAAATAATATAAAAGAAAGTTTAGAATCATGTTCACAAATATTTGTTTTCTATGAAAAAATACCTCCGAAGAAGAAGCAGTCAGCTACTGAAAATTTGTTCAGCTTTTCAACTTTTTTTTTCAGCTTTGTAGAAACATGCTGCTTTTGTCATATATATATATTGTATAATATCATCACCTGTATAATATTGTCTTTTAACTCTGGCATTGGATATATAATAAAAGATAATTACTTAGTAACTACTTATGCCTAGAAGCAGAAGATTTTATTTTCACTTATCAACTCTTTCAGCCATTTTGTCTCCTCTTGGGTTATCATACCAAGCAAATTAAAGAACGTCATTTTTTCTTGGCATTAGCCACTCAGCCTCTACTCATGCATTAAAACAGCATCAAAAGGTACCTGACATGCTGGTGGTATTTGACATCCAAGATGTTGCTATCTACAGGAGATAAGTTAGAGATGTAATATCCAAGGATAGAGATCGGGCTAGGTTAAGAGTCTGCTTTTCCCAAATTTGTAATATAGTTGCAAGGTAGTTGGAAAAATATGGAGATTAAATAACTCATACACATACTTAAATAAAAGAATTATGTTCGGGGCTGGGAGTAGCTCACTTTATCAACAAATCCAGCATTTTTATGCACTACGTACTAAAAGCACTGTAAAAAACAAGTGACTTGTGAAAACTTTAAAGCTGTTTGCAATGGCAGTTAGTAGATACATCCAAACCGGGAACTCCTAATTAATTATATCATATATACTCATGTCTTACCAAACTAAGATAATGAACAGATACCTTGCAATAGCATAGTTGGTCTGTAGTAACCTACCAGTCTACTAACACTTGTTTTAGATCCAACGTTTTAGATAAATCACAAATATTTCTGACTGATATTTCTGTGCATGGCTATACATGGAAAGAAACATGTATCTTCCATTTACAGGAGTAACACATAGACAGTAAAATTCTGGAAAAGACAGGGTAACTTGTACTTTTAAAAAGTGCTGGCAGACAAGCTTATATAGAGGAGCCTAGTGCCTGCCACCAACCTGATTTTGATGCATCTGACAATTTTCTGTGATGCAGTAAATATGTCACTGGCCCATAGTGGTACATAGGTCATTCATGAAACAGGGTAAATCACAAAAAGCTCAATTGGAATTAAATAGTAGGGCACCTATTTTGAGTTCAGGACATGCCCTTTTCTTTATAACAGCAATTGTCTCATGACTGAAGTAACATTGGTTATTCCAGGCTGAGGAGTTGCTCAAAGCCTCAGCTTTTTCCTTCTGGACTTAAATTCCTTTGTTAGCTCCACAGGAGTGATTTCCTAAAACCTTAGGATTGCTGTCAGCTGTCTAGGATTCCATCAAATTTTCAGACCTGGACACGGTATTCCCAAGTGTAAGGGAAGCTGCATGAAGCAGAATTATTTTCCTATCCCAAAAAGGCATACTGTTTTTATACATATGGTAAGGTACACATTTTTTGCCACTTCATCACATTGTGAACTCCTGTCTCATTTGTCCATCACCCTCAGGTCTTTCTCTGCATTACTGCATTTTAAAATTTATGATTAACAAACTGACCTTAAATAAAAATAACTCTCTCAGTGAGACCTTACCCAGAATTTTGAGAATTCAGACAATCCAACAGAAAATTCTTCTACTTTCCTAACTCCATCCTCCCTAGTCACACTGCAAACAAGCATATTTACTCCCACCTCACACCAATCCTACTATAATGACTTTTCAAAAAAAGCTTTGCTGTGGGCTGAGAAGAAAATGAGAAGAAAACAAAAAACTGTGTCAGAGGCTCCAGACCTATTATAGAAAGGTAGGTGTACACACTTGGTGTATATCTACCACTCATTAAACCTGAGGGTGGAACCAAGAGTTGCTTCTTTGTTATAATCCCATCTGCTCTAGCGCCTTTCCTTTTTAAACACCTCTCTGAAGCACTACTCTACAATCTCCATCTTCTCCTTGAATATCCACTGAAAGCTGGAAAACCCTTTGTTGGTGGCAAGTGGGCATTTTCTTGTCCATGTCAAGGTCTAGTTCTAAGATACTTAATTCAGAATGTGGGAGCATGCTGAAGTTACATTTTAAATTACATCTCTGCAGTCAAGACCTCTAGAAACTTCTGCATAAAGCAGAGCAGGATGAGATTCTTAGTTGATATCATTCTAAAACTTTATGCTCCATGAAAATCATCAACATAAAACAAAAACCACACAACACGCTACAGCGTTATTTATTTTGCATCAACAAGGTTAACTGCTGCAAAATTGGCTCCATGATTTGAAAGACAGTTTACTCAAGTCTCACTTTTGAAGTTTGCAGTCCTACCAAGCAGTAAACTTGTGAAAAAGGAAAGCCAATGGTCAGCTCCTCTTCCTAGTTGTGTTACCTCGCAGTTACTACTGAGAGGCAACGGGACCTTCATCTTCAGAGGCTTTCCAGACTGGCCTAGACAAAGCCATTGCTGGTCTCATTTAGTATCAGAAGAGTTTTCCTTGAAGCAGAAGATGGGGCAGATGATGACCACAAGTTCTTTTCACACACTACTTTGTCTGAAATTAGCAGGAAAGTCAGTTGCATCTCACTGCTTTTTAGACATCAAGTACTGAATAACGGAAGAGGAGAAAACACGTCTAAAAATAAAAATAGAGTCAATGAATGCCTTGTTTTTCCTGTCTCCCAACAGCAACAAGAGCCAGGAGCAGGCAGAAAATACAAAAGATCTTTTTCTCTCTGGCAGCTTGGGCGGGTGACTCACAGCGAGTGATGAACTCTTCGCATACTGCTCCTGTCAGTGCCGAGCCGATTTGCCTTCTGAGCCCTGACCTGGGCCATACGGCTGCGGACAGAAACAGGGAGCCTGGTTTCTTCCTAGCTGCTTTGTCAATAAGACATAAAGCTAAGGACAGCTGAGGACAGCGATCACTGAAACTGTGAGTTTGCAAAGCAGCTAAAAACCCTGAGACGTGAAAGCAGGTTGAGGGAATGCCAGCACTCACACCCCACAGCTGCTCTGAATTGCAGCGAGCTGAGTCTCAGACCTTTCTTCCCAGAACTCAGAGTGCTGCTGCATGCCATTAACCTTTACACCCACATATTTCCAGCAAGAAAATTTATGATATGTACTCTTGCACTTCTCTGCCAGGTAAGTTCCACACACACACACACACACAAAATAAAAAATGTAGTTTTCTTTGTGACTTCTAATTTGCAAACCAAAGCTAAAGATTAAACAAACACTTTTTTTTTTTTCTTTTTTCTTTTTCTTTCTTTTTTTTTTTTCATGTGAGGAGCAGAACATGGAATTTAGGATGATTTTGCAATAAGCTTATTTTTGTCCAATGACTATATATTGCAACTGCATGCCAGCGCTGAGGCACTGACTGACAGCATTTTTCACTTGGAGTGGCATGCATTTTCACAATGCTGTATGCCCAAAGAATGCTGTTTATGCTCTTCCAAACTAATAGGAAGACAAAATCTTGAAAATGAATATTTTTTTTTTACTTTATTTTTTGAAACTTTGACTTGTGTTATGCAAAACCAATGGTTTTATGCCTCAGCTAAAGTTACCATTACTTTTATTAGGCCCAGGAAGCTGAGTTGCATTTAATATGGCCTTCAGCTAGAGAGACCAAAAGCTGGCCTCTGTAGCTCAGACAGCCCTATACTACCGTCTTGCTACTCCATGTGAATAGATACTTTTTTTCATAGGTCTTACACCTAACGGCAATGAGCATTATGGATGTGACATCTGCTGCCAGTGCAGCTGTGGCTCCAGCTGGTTTTCTTCCCTGGGGTAAACTAATGGCCCAATAAGATTCTGAGGGGGGTTAATGTGTTGTAGGGTATATCATCATCATCACCAATCACACCAGCTTGTTTTTGAAACAAGTTCTGTTTCACAAGAAGTATAATTTAAGAAGCATTCCCACGATTTCTCAAGCTTGGGAGCAACATACCTGTTTTTTCTTGTCGTTATTGAATACAGCATGTTACTGCCTACTTGTACACCAGGCAGAATGAGAGCATTTTATGCCTACTTTGCACAGCTCAATCCTGCTTTCCACAGCTCAAGGCTAAAAAGATTTCTACACTGCACAGGCTTTATGACTGAGAGTTTCCTGTGGAATTCACCAGAAAAAGAAGCAGGTGACTTAATATTACATGTAGGGTTGGTGGAAGCTTCCAGGTTCATACCCTGAGAATGGATCCTTTTTGACCACATTATGGAAGTGGTTCAGCAAGTGGCAGTGCAATTCCCTTTTCCTGAGGTCTTCCTCCTTTATTTCAGAGAATTAAGTCCTTTGATAATGCAAGAGATACTTCTATTGCATGCTGAAACCGTCCTTCCTAAGAAGTCTGATCTTTTTTTATGCTTTCTGACTTTCTACTTCACACCTAGTTCAGTTTTATTTTACATGTAGCAAACTTTTACTGTTGCACATGAAGTGAGATGATTTGCAGAACCTCCTGAGGTACAGGTGTATCACAGGATTTCCTGTGACTGTGGTGGATTAGTCCTAGTGGATGTGGTGGCTCCTCCCACTCCTAAATCAACCTGCAGGTGCTGTTAGCGCTTGAGCTGCTGCTATACAGGCACTTGTCCACCAGGAACTGTCCTCACCACACAAGAAGCTACTGAACTGTATTCACAAGAAATTAATTATTTTTAATTCCAATTAGAATAGATTTGAATCTGTGACTTCAGGGTCAAGGAGAGTGAGTTCTGTGAGTGAATCTCCTACTGCAAGATGTTCTGAGGAGAGCTGCATGGTGTCAACCGTTGACTCCTTTCTGACATCTAGTCTCTACGAGAAGTCAGGTAAAGAGAAAAAAGGTGAATACAGAAGTAATTGTTTAGGGGAAAAAAGAGGCAACATCAACAAGACTTTGGGTTTTGACCAATATGAAAGGATATTGTGCTTATCCTAATCAAAGATGCAAATGCTGGTAAGTAAGCACATTTGTTTTCATTGGAGGATAGAACCATTGATCCGTTTGCCCTTGCTATGTTGTCTAATTGATCACTTAACTGGCTGCTTGGATTAAAATGTATTCCTGGCATTTCCCCTCTCGGGGGAATGTTCCCCTTTCCTCCTCTCAGTTTCTATTTTTTAAATTCTTAGAAAATATTAAAAATCAGTTTACAGTACTCTCTTTTTCTGAATGCAGACCAGGCTTCTAGTATCTCTTCATATTTTAAACACATTGTGAGCTTTAAAGCAATGTTCTATTCCTCTGTTATGTTTTCTGTCTCTAAGTGCTGCATTTACTTTGTCACTTCCCATTTACTGGTAATTGGCTCCTGCAAGAAATCTACATTTTTTGCTTGCCGGAAATTTGCAAGTGCTACAATTCAGTTTCAGTATTATAAATCGAGCAATGTTTGTGAAACAGCAGTCTCATAGATATTATCTTTATTTAGCCTATAGACTTAAAATCAATCTGGTGAAATCCAAGAAGACATATTTAGTGTAAGCTTTAATTTTATATTTTCTTCTGTGATTCATCAGATCATGTACCATCATGTATAAGAAAACGTGTCAATTAAAAAAAAAAAAATCAATATTTGGCTAAAGTTACCATTTCAAGGTATGCAGCCTTCATTTAGGAAGCATTATTTCGCAGTTAAAATTTTGAACTGGGAGCCAGGAACCATACAGTAACAGCCTGGCAGAAAAGGGCCTAGGATCTTGGTGGACACCGTGTTGAGCATGAGCCAGTGCTCGTGCACCCTTGTCACAAAGAAGGCTAACAGCATTCTTGGATGCATCTGGCAAAGTGTTGCCCACAGGTCAAGGGAAATGATTCTTCCCCTCTACTGGTCACTAAAGAAGTCACATCTGTAGTGCTGGGCCCAATTCTGGGACACCCAGTACAAGACAGACACAGGCATACCAGAGAGAGTGCAGTGAAGGGCCACAAAGATGATGAAGGTACAGGAGCACCTCTCCTGGGAGGAAAGGCTGAGAAAGCTGCGACTTTTTAGCCTAGACAAGAGGATGCTCAGAGGGATCTGATCAACGTATATGAACACTTGAAGGGAAGGTGCAAAGAGGATGGAGCCAGGCTCTTTCCAGTGGTGCCCAGTGACAGAACAAGAGGCAATGGGCACAAACTGAAACACAGGAGGTTCCATCTGAACATCAGGAAATGCTTTTTTTATTTTCATATTTTTTACTGTGCTGATGACTGAGCAATGGAACAGATTGCCAAGACAAGTTGTGGAGTCTCCATCTGTGGAAATATTCAAGACACAACTGGACATTTTTGTGGGCAAGTGGCTTTAGGTGGTCCTGACTGAGCAGGGGTGTTGAACCAGATGGCCTCCACAGGGTTCTTCCAACCTCAACCATTCTGTGATTCTGTGAAGAACAAAAAACTGACTTACAGTCCAGTTCTTCATTACCTTACTCTGCCTTAAGGGTCTCTCATCAGGCAGTAGCATTTTTCTCCACTATTCAGAAATGAGCTGTCTCAACATTTTGCATGGTCTCGTGGGAATTACAGGATCTCTGTGGCACTGCAGTAGAGGCTACTCTGTGTCAGAGTGGCTGAAAGACAAGTGTCTTTGTTTTTTGTCTACATTAAAACCATCTGGCAAGAGGAATTTGCGGATTTCAATAAATGATCCTCTGAAAAAGTAGAACACACGTATGATGCAAAGGGTAATTTTTTTTCCTTAGCATGTAAACTGTGCACAAGTGACTACAAGTGTGTGACTTGACAGAAAACAGATGTCTCAATTTGCTTGAGTTAAAAAAAAAAAAAAAAAAAAAAAAAAAAAAAAAGTGATGTAGTTAGACTCAATTCCCACTTGAATATTGTTAAAGAAATCTCCTTTCTTAAAAGCGATGTTCTGTTCAGGACTAGGTTAAGGCACAGTTGCTACAGGACAGTTTTACAGGACAGTTTACCTGTGGCATGAGGTGATGCATTATATCATACGTTCTCCAAGAATATACCATCTAAAACACAGTCTTGCTCTTTATTAAGAAATTATTTAAAGTCTGAACCAGGTAAAATTAATGAATTGATTTTTCCCCAAAAATAATCCCAAAGGACTGTTCTGAAGAGGGGAATTGCACTTGACCTAGGGTTATAGTCTACCTAGAGCCCAGTCTGCCCCAATCCAGCTGTAGCTGTGATCCTCAGTTTATGCACAGACCTGTCAGATTTTCTAGATTGTGTGTGACAGTCACTTAATGGATCTTTGTCTCATGTTTCCTTGCATTGGTGTCCAAATTTTATTAATTTACAGCACAGTGCTACCATTCCACGCTGATAACCTACCTACATGCTAGACAGAGCTAGGCAAGATTTACATGCTGTGCCAGTATAAGAGGCGATGGAGCCAGGTAGGGCCCACTGTAATGTTGAATACCTCCCATACATCATTGTCACCACTACGTGATCCTGAATGTGGGGTCTTGCACATTGGCTGTAATGCACATTTTGAGCTTTGGGAATTGTTTATATAGCAGACATAACCACATTGAACACAATTCCATTAATGACAAAAAAAAAAAAAAAAAGGAGTATTGTGCCAATTAATAAGATTGAAAAACTGCTTATTTTCAGCTTTGTTTGGTATACAAATCTCTTCTGTTCTCAATCTGTTCTGGTCTTGTTATTTAAGGATTCAGCAAGTGTACGTTTAAGGAAGAAATTTACATCAGACTTCAACTTGTGTGAAATTATAAAATCACACAAGAAACAGTGAAGGACTAATGTGAGAAAGTAATTCTTCTGATCACACTGACTGCTATTCCTACAGCTAGAATTACAGCCAGTTCCAAAACTACACAGCTATTTTGCCCATTTATCAAGCAAGATTTGCATGTTTACACAGCAGGTGCCAACATGTGATCCAATGGCCATTACTGTTTTTATATTAGAGGAACGACAGATTACACTGGTTTGGAGCCAACTGAGTGTTTGTAAAACTATTGTAAAAAGAGTATATGCAGAGTAGTAGTGAACTCAAACCACTTACTAAGCTTATTGTCCCAAGCCTTACCATGAAGTTGAAGAGATTCAAATTTAGACTTGTAAGCATTTGCTGTCAGAAGTGATAGCTGATTATGACAGACATCCCAGCAAGCACATGTGAATTCAGTAATCTGCAATAGCTCAAGAAGACGTCAGACTACATCCATTTGCTTGTTGCCTTAATTTTGGTGCCAGGTTCTATAGGAAGAGGAGTCTCCTGACATTTACAGATGGCATAGTAAGTTGAAATATCAGAAAAGCAAGTATTACAGTTGCTAAGCATATACCCTAGAGTAGAGAGAATGTAAAGGGTAATTCTGTTAAAAATAAATTCCCTTTAAAAATGACTCACTGAGATT